GTGCCAGAATCCCAGCTCAGCCAGCATACAAGCAAGGTCCTCAGCCTCTCAGTTTGGTTTCCTCATCTGTAAGATGGGAGAGTTCACAGCCTCTGCCTTACGGGATGTCATGAGGGTTGAGTAAAAGAACCCCGGAAACACTTGGCTCAGTATGCACCATTCAGGCTCCATATTTTACAGGCCCTCTGCTCAGTGTCATCTCCCTGGAAACTGAGGCCCTGCCCCTGTGTTGCATGTACCATGTGCTGCAGGAGAAGGCCCATCAGGGCTGCTTCAGGTCTTCTAGAAAGCACGCTGGGGACAGTCCTGGCAACCCCTCCTCCAGGAATCCACAGGCCCAGATAACCTCTGCACTGAGCTCTGTAGGGCACATTTCAGGACCTAGCTATGCTGGCCTCAGTGTCTCTGACAGCCAAATGGGCATCAATGGCAGCTCCATCCTCCCTTCCAGTGTGGCTGTGGAACCTGACCCCTGACTGCTCCCTGCTGAGTCCTGCTGGTATCAGCTGCAATGTGGGGATGATTCCAAACCCCACCTGTAGAGCTGAGTGAGATTTAAAACTAATAAATGCAAAGCAGCTAGTTGAGGCCCAGTGGCCAGCAGGAGCTCAAGAGTTAGGGAGGTGGAGGAAGGCCCGGTGGGCCCGGATCCTTCCCCCTGCTGCAAGGTCCAAGGGCAAGCGAAGCTCAAGCACAGTTCACTCTGCTTGCTCGGGTAGTTCAGCCTCACACTGACTTCCAGGAACAGCAGAGGGACTTGGCTGCCTCTCCAGGCAGGCAGACTGTTCCTGGAAAGCAAGGCAGGGTAGGGGGCTTCAGGTGGCAGAGGACAGGCTGGTGGCCAGGAGCCAAAGAAAAGACCTGGGCTCAAGCCCCAGCTGTGCCCCTGCCCTACTGAGCCTCAGCGTCTTTATCTGTAGCACAGGGATCTCTGAGTGCTTCAAGCCCTGACGACCTGCTCCCTAGGCTCAGTAGGGTGGGATACCTGATTCCTCCATTGCCCCAGCCACATGCCCCAGCAGAGGGCTGCACACCTGGTGCAGCAGGGGCAAAAGGGTGACATCCCCTGCTCTGAGAGGCAGAGTCTCTTGGGAAGACCCCAGCCCCTGGGAAGGGGGCAACCTGGCCAGGCCTGCCTACCATGGGGCAAGGCTGCTCTGAGCTGTCTTACCCTCCCCCCTTAGGCATGATTGGGGCCAGGGGATCAGCCCAGTTCAGGCTCCCAGTGAGGCCAAGGTGGGCTCCCCTGTCCTTTTTACTTTGTGAACCATAAAACTGGCCTTTCCTGATCATTTTATTGCAAGACTGTTGGGGGGGGGTGTCTTTGGAAGAAAAGAGGTCCCTAGAATTTGCAGCTCTTATGCTGCAGCTCTTATACTGATTTCTGGTTATGAGGCCAAAGATGCCCAAAGGTCCTTCCAGATACCTAAGGAGGCCCCTAAGGGCCAAAGGCTGGGGGTCAGTTCCCTCAGACGGAGAGGCACCCACTCATCTGTGCCATCAGGGTTTCTGTAGGAAACCCTGCTCTCATAGCTACCAGGCTTCAGATGGGACACAGATCCGTCCATACACACAGGGGCTACAGCTGGGCTAATGTGGCTGACATCTGCTCAAAAACCTTGCTCAGAGGACTTTATGTGCCAGAGTCCCTGGGTTTAGGAGCTACATGGAGAGCCATGTGAGCACCACCTAATTAACTGACCATGGCTCCTGGGAGCAATGGAAACTAAGAGCATTGTACCAGGAGTTAGGAAAGTGCTGTGTTACCTCAAGTAAGCCTCTTCCCTCTATTTGGGAAGGAGAATCAGGGATTGGACATGAGTCTTGCCATAAACCACCTCTTCCAGTACAAATAGGCCCTCTTGATTTGGGACCCAGCTGACCCTTAAGTCCAGGTGTCCAAACTGTCCCCCAGCTTCTCAGCTCTCAAAACAGCATGAGGCACAGCAGCCCATCTCCAGCCTCCCAGTAGCTCTCCATGTGGCTCCTGGGTTTGCACTGTGGCTTCAGGAGCCCAAGCCTTGGCCAGGTGGGATGGTACCTCCAGAGTGAGGTCCTTGTCCCAACCTTGACAGGGATAGGGTCAAAGACACCAGTTGGCCACTTTAGTGTTAGGGACTAGGAGGCTGAGAACCCCAGGGATGACCTGATTCCACCCTAGGGACAGAATGGTGACAAAGCTTTGCCTGGGCCTAGAGCAGGAACTGGGCACTGCCTGGCAGCTGGAATAAAGTCAACCCTCCACAGCTTACATGAAGGGGTCAGGCCCAACAGCTCAAAGTTAGGGGCTACTATGCTCATTTTACAATGTGATACCTGCAACTTAAGACAGTATGGGGTTCCTATTCATTCTCACACACTCGAGGGGTGCTGCGCCAGACATATAACTCCATGGTAGGCCAGGAACAGGCTTGGATCCAATCTCTGAGGTCTTCTCTGAAGGCCTGTGGCCGCCATGCCACTGTAGATGAGCCATGGAGGCCAGCCTTGGGCTCTCTCCCACCAGTCCCAGTCCCATTCCCAGTGCCTGGGCCACTGGGGCCTCTTTGGGACCCACCCTGGTCAGACTTCCAGTCCTCTTTCTCCGAGGAAGGGCCAGCTCTCTCAAACATGGTGAGACGTGAGTAGGGGCCTGGGCAGTTCAGGTCTGCAGGTAGAGGAGGGCAGGCAGCCCCACACCCTGGCCATATCACCTCTTAGAGGAGAGGTATTCAAGGCAATTTATCATGTCTCAAAATTCTCCCAAGCCCTGCCCATTTCCAAATTCCAATCCCAAAGCCACTTTCATTTGTAGGTGTTTTTACAGAGCACTCTACTTCAGCCACCAAAGTGGCTTTAAAACAACACAAATTTGTCATAATTCTGGAGATCAGAAACCCAAAACTGGTTTCACTGGGCTTAAAATTAAGGCATTGACAGGACTGTAATCTTTCTTGGGGCTCTAGGGGAGAAGAGGCTGTCTGCATGCCCTGGCACATGGCTCTTCCTCCAGCAATTGCTCACTCTGACCTTTGCTTCCTTTGTCACATCTTCTCTCACTGACACTCCTGTCTCCTTCTCATAAAGACCCTTGTAGTTACACTGAGCTGACCTGAATAATCCAGGATAATCTTTCCACCTCAAAATCCTTAATCACACCTGCAAAGTCCTTTTTGCTGTATTAGGCGACATGATCACAGGTTTAGGTGATTAGGACATGGGCACCTGGGTGATTAGGACATTCTGTCTACAAAAGGAGGAATGGGAGTTGCTTTGTCAGCCCCTAGTCCAGTCCAGGGGGCCTGAGGGATCACCTGGGGGAGGAATCAGGCTACTGTCTTAGCCAACACCCTGGCTGAGGGCTGGCTGGGGCCAAGAGCTCCAGGAAACCTGGTGCCTCCACCTGCTGCTGCCAAGGACGGCCTGTTCTCCTGGCGTGGTTGCTGTGTAGGGATCAGGTGCACTTGAGCTCTCAAAGCACCCACAGCTCAACTTGAACAGCTGCCTGGCCCCTGGCAGGAAGCCAGGCCCTCATGGCTTCCTCTCCCTCCTGACTAGAATACGTGGGCCATCAGGTCAGATGTGGGTTACATGGGAAGTCCCAGCTCTACTCTAGAAAATGCATATACTGTCTGGTAGATATCTACTGAACTGGGTATGCCAGGCCCACTAGGGGCCCCAGAGAGATGAGGGGGACAGGAAGACTTCTGAATGCATGAGACAGAATGTCACTGGTGCAGGCAGAGGTATGGGCTAGGGGATGCAGGGAGAACACAGAGGTCAGAGCAGGTATCCAAAAGGAGAGAGCACTTGTGCTGGAGTTTGCAGGAGGGGATGATTCGGACTGGCAGTGGTAGGCAAGGGCATTCCTGATGGATGCACTGCCCAAGGAAAGGGAAGGTGTGTTCAGGGAGTGAGGACTACTGCAGGCAGGCTGAAGTCCTGGCCAGGAAGAAAAAGAATCTGAAGATGGATGGGGAAAGACATGTTGGTCTGCAGAGGTTAAAGGGTTCCCTACCTCAAGCCAGCAGTTCTCAAACCTTATCAGCAGAACAAACCCTTTGTTCTGATGGCAGCTTACTCAGAGCACTGATGGGGCCTTGGGAGGGGTCCCCAAGGCCTTTTGCACAGCTGTCCCCCTCCCCCTTCAGAACTGGATTCTGTAGGACACAGTGACTACACTTAGGTCATGGGGAGCCAGCTAAGAGTTTAGGACTGGAATTGGGAACAGCTGATGGTCCAGGATCTAGGTTGGGGTAGAAGAGCAGAAAAGAGTAAATTTCTTGGAGTTAGGGGATTGGAGGGCACATTTCAATAAAGCAGCTAGATGAGCCCTATGGGCAGCTAGGAAAAGCATCCCACTGAGGCAAGTCTCAGTGTCCCCAACTGTCAGAAAGAAGGGACAGAATCACTCTCCCAGAGTACATCAAACAGCAACCCCTACACCCTTGCCCACACTCTGGGATCTGGCTGAAGGAGGTTGGGGGTAGCAGGCACGTCCCTCAAGGCCTCAGGGGCTCCACCATCAGCTCCTCATCTTCCTCCCCTTCTGCCTGCAAGGGCTTCCTGACAGGTACCAGAGAAGGCAGCTGTCTCTAGCTCTGGCCTCAGGAGCAAAGGAGGGGACAGGGCAGGTGAGCCTGGCTTTCCCTAAGCTACAGCCACTGGCTACCCTGGCTGGGCCTCAGTGCACTCCGGCCCTGGTGAGGAGGGACTGAGGCGAGATGGGGGCTGCCAGGCCGCCAGCCTCTTGGCTTCCACTCCAGAGGGCAGATAGGAGGCAGGAGCCCATAACCGAAATCCCGCCTTTCCTCCTTACCACACTGCCCGGTGTCTCTGCCCGCCTTATGTTGGTGTCAAGCACCAGACGGACACATGAGGGTACAGGGCCCTCCCTCCCCACATCCTCCGTCTGGACAGGCAAAGAAAACACCCACAATGTGCTAAGAAAGGCACATCCCACGAGCTTCTCACAATCATTCTATAAAATAAAGCACGACAGACCCAGGAGACCTGTCCCATATCTCAGCCTTGGAGCCAACGCTGTGTGACATGAATTCATCTGCTCAAGGTCACATCCTTGTTGGGGACAGACCCTAGGATCTAAATTCAGGCTGGTGTGTCTCTGACATTAGGGCTCAATGTCCGGGGCCCAATCAATCCCATGACTGTAGGCTTGAGACCCCACCCTGACAGTCCACTTGGCTTGGATCTTTTTCCAAGCAGAGTCAAGTTGCACATTTTTCTGGGGAGGAAGTTGTCCCCAAGGGTGGCTCCTGCTCCAGTGACCCCAGCTGCTCCTACAGTCACTCTCCATCACCGCACTCTCTTGGGGTGCCATGCCCACAAGTTCACCAAGGCCTTTCCTCAGTAATGGGCCTGAGACCAGGAGGTTGAGGCCATCAGGGAAGCCAGCACTGGCTGAGATGTGGCACAGGCTGTGGTTCAAAGAGGCAACAGACTACTATGAGGTCAGGGCAGCTGCCCTGAGATGCTGCTGAAGACAGTAAGAGCCAAAGGGAATAGGCAGGAAGAAAGGGCAACATCGATGAGGTGACAGGCAAGGTCTGAGAGCACAGGAACTCAGGAAATCCGGAACCTTGCTCTGGTTGTACCCCACCCTGCCCTCCTTCTAGAACAGCCATGGGCTTCCCCTCCATGAAGCCAAGGCAGCTCAGGATCCATATAGCTGGGGCTGGGCATGGGGCGGGACACCAGGGCCCTGGGAGCTACAGCCTGGCCTCTGCTGAGGAAAACTTGTCCCACCCCCGCCACACGGGAGCGGGACTGTGAGCCTGAGTGGGGGACAATACTCAGGCCAGGGATGACTCTCTCCCAAAGGCAGGGACCTAACTTACCGTCTCCACTTGGCCAATTCCTATCATGAAATCTCAGGCAGGCCATGTCTTCTTTTGCCTCTTGGTCTCCCCAACGGGAGAGTGGGTGTTCTGAGGTCAGCACTCATACTCCACTTGGCTGACTAGGAGTAAAATGAGGCTGCTACTTTGTGTTGGTCTTAGACTCAGAAGAGCCAGCTTCTCATAGGGAAAGGAGCAAGTTCCCACTGCAAAACACAGCCCTGGAACTCCACTTTCCTGGTTCTAACGGAGGATGCTGCCCACCAGCCCACACTGCTTCTGGCTACTACAACTTGGGTCAAGCCCTTGAACGTGCTGGGGCAGCAGGGGGAAGCCTGGAGAATGAGCCAGCCTGGTTTGCCATGCTCCTTAGGAACCTCAAGCCCGCTGTCTTGAGTTCTTATTCTCCCCAGCCCCAACCAGGGACAGATGGGTTATTTGAAACCCCAAGGTCAATTCAGAAGGGGTGTTTTAGCTAAAAGCTATGGGAATAAAAAGTAAACACAAGTCCTGCACAGCCCAGAACTGTGTGGCAAGGACCTTCAGCCTCGTTCCCCCCAGGAAGTAGGCAGTGGTTCCTGAGCTAAAGCTCAGATGAGGTTCCTGTGCCCAGAGCCCGGGCCTGGTGAGAAGAGTGTGTGCAAGTGTACCCAGGGCAGTGGAGGACTAAGGCAACCCTTGGTGGTGAGCCAGTCCCCATAGTGTCCCAGGCTAGGAATGAGGGCCCATGTGCCATCCTCCACGCAGCACCTCTACACCCTCTGCCATGTAGGGGACTGACAGCCAGCTCTGCTGAGGTAGAAGGAAGCTTCCAGCCCCAGCACCACTTAGGGGTAAGGGGTCAGGGGACCCACAAATCATGGAAACAAAAACAATAGGTCACCATTTGTCAGTTTCCTGAGACTTTACTGGCTTGTGTCCTAATACCCCACAGCAATTTCACCAACGGAGACCCTGAGCAGCCTGCCCTTGGCCTCACTGATGCGAAGGAGCCAGTGAGGAGCCAGCCAAGCTGATAGGGAAGCTTGGTCTGCCCAGCTCCTGAGCCACACTGTGGATGTCCCTGCTCTTTGCCACCTCAGGAAGGACACCCCCACCCTTGTTTCTACCCTTAAGTGTCCCAGAAATGTAGACCATGGGGAATCACAGAACCCTGAGAAATGCCGTAAGCACGTGGAAAGCACCAGCCACTTCCCTCCGAGCAGCAATCCTAGAAGGGTCAGCCAGGCCCTCAGGCAGGCTGGTAGGCCCATAGAACAGCCACGCTATGGCCCAGACTGCTGGATATGCAGGAACCGGGGCCTGAGGAGACAAGGACAAGGGGTGGGTTATATTCCGGGCCCCAGGGAATGAGCGGGGATTGGGAGCAACACACTCTCCCCACAGCTGGGACTGTGGATGGCCCCGGTGGAAAGACCTGTGAGGCCATGGGGGATGAATAGGGACAGAGCCTCACCTCCCACAGAAGTCCCTGCGCACGGCCACGAGATGGAGGTACAGGTCAGGATGGCTCTGAAGCCAGCTGCTGACAAGCTCCGGGTGTCTCGGATCCACTTCCAAGTAGATGCTTCTACATGGGGGAGAAACGGGTGGGCTCAGGCGGGCAGGACTGGGACCCACGTTCTGGGTTGTCCAGGTCAGGTGGGGGCAGAATAACTGCCAGGCATGCCCAGTACACACTGGGAATGGAGGAGGCTGCTGGGGACAGACCCAGGAGACCTGTCCCATCCATACCCAAAGTCCTTTAGGAGCTGGGGTGCCAGGGTCAGGATGTGGGTAATGACGTCCATACCCTCTTCCCCACCGTCCAGGGCCTCTGGGTCTTCATAGCTGAATGGGAAAGAAGGGGGAGGTAAGAGCTTGAGGGAGGGGATGTCTGAAAAGTACAGAGGAGCTGGGGAGGGCATCCACAAAGGGGCCCTCTGGAACTTACACTCAGGGCTAAGAGGCAAGTCAGAGGAGGTGGCCCCCAAATGGATGGCAGCTCCTACTCCCCAACCTCCTGTGGGCAGCACCCCATAGGCACTGCCAGGCATGTGTGCTAAATCCCACTAACTGACGGCCCCAGGGCACGAATCTCCTCACAGCAAGGTGCTCAGCTGCTCCTGTTCTTGGCCTGGGAGGTCTGGAGCTGGCCCTGACTACTCCTGAGAGCCCGGAAAGAGAGAGCCAGCACCCCAACCCACACTACTGTTGCCCCATCTAGGGGCTGCTGGGCTATCCCTGTTTTTCAGCTCCTGTTTAGGAGCAGGATGGCTTGGTGCAAAGCCTGGAGTAGGATTTTAGTCCCAGCTTTCCTGCTAAGGCATCATGTGATATTAGACAAGACACCTTCCCTCTCTGGGCCTCAGTCTTCTATAAAATGATGCACCCATCCTATGAGCCCTCCACTGTGTCCAATGCTTTTGAGTCATCACTGAGTCCTCCCTAAGGCCTGAATCCTCTGTAAGGTCTATTTTCAGGCGCAAGAAACAGGCTCAGAGGTTCAGTGGCCGTCTGCTATCTCAAGTGGGAAGGCAGAACCTGTAAACCCAGGTAGGATTGTGGGCTCTGGAGTGCACCCTCCCTCTCAACACCACTGCCCATTTCTGCACCCACCCACCTACCCTTCCAGATGGCATGGTCCCCAAGGGCAGACCAATCCTATTAGGCCTTCTCAGGACTGGCCTCCCGGTCCCACCCCACCCAGCACCTGCGGATCTCGGGGGCCAGCTGCTCCATGTCCTGGTGGAAGACATAGGGAGGGTTGCTGATGACCAGGTCCACAGGGCCCCAGGGCAAAAGGTGTGTCCAACTCCCTTCTGTGGTCAAAGGGGACATACAACAAGGATTGGCCCACTGGGAAAGGGTGGTGGCTCCACCTACCATGTCCCTTGGGTAATCCCTCCCTACAAGCCACACCTTGGGCTTGTCTTTGGACCTGATAAGCCAGACTTGCAAATTAGAGCCCAGGGTCCCCAACCTGCAGCCTGGCCCATAGTGTACATGCTCCGACGTGGCAGCCCTTTACCTAGAATGTAAGGTAAGCCCTTTACCTTGCCCCCTCTTCTTCCTGTCAAAAACCTCATTAAGCAAGACACAGTTCAAGTACCACTTCCAGAAGGCCCTCCTGGGTAAAGCAAGAGCCTTCCTCCTCTGTAGCTCCACTGGCCTTGCCACACTCTGCCTCACAGCCAACATGGGCTTAGAGTATCTGGTGGGCAGGCGTGGCTTTAGTCAGCTGACTCCTGATGGCTCTGATTACTGGTTCCAGCCTGTGCCAGGTGGTAGGTACACCAGGTGTACCACACTCCATGGAGAGGCACATGAAGCTCATGGATCTCATGGGTGAAAAGATGGAGTTAGAACTGCAGCTGGAAACCCGAGGATACTGTAAAGGCTGCAGCAGAGCCGTGCAGTGCCAGCGTCTCTTCCTCCCAGGCCAGGCAGGGGCGGGGAGGGCATTCAAGTATTTTAGTCCTAAAGGCTTTTTTATGCTTTTGTTTATCTCTTGTCAACAATCAAGCCCTTAAACTAATGTTATGGGGGATTCAGAAAGTCTCTGTGGTTGGTCGCCTCATGGGTCAGGTCAGCCCAGGAGGCAACAGCAACTTGTCTGTCCTCAGCAAGGACTGGTCTGAGCTGCTGTGTGTGTCCGCTGGGGAAGCCCTCCCTCCCTCTCCATGGAGAGCCTTGTCTACCGGCAGCACCTGTATCCAAGATCCCCACCTCAGGAAACATGGGTGAGGGACTGTACCTAAGGTCACATCCAGGGGGACGATCCAAATTCTGTCCTGCAACTGAAGCCTGGAGAGAAGGGAAGATAGGGGTGAGCATGTGGGGTGCTCTATCCTTGGCTACAAGAAAGGGGAGAATTGAGAATGTTTCTTGGAGTGGCAAGATACCCAGTGCCCTTCATAATCCTGTGGGACCCACGCCAGGCTTCCCCAGTGTCTCCCCTCTCTTGGGAGTAGAAATCAGACATTGGTGGGTTTGTTACCTGAACAAGGGGTTGAGACCAGGACCCAAAGTCCAACTCCCCCACCCTCGCTCTGTGGTTCTCCCACCTACCTCTGAGCATTCTCACGTGTCAGAGAGATGGCGGCTGCCTCCTTATCCACAGCAATGACTCGGCTCTGTTCCAAGAACAAATGAAGGGTACGTGGGAGACAGTGTTGGGAGATTCCGGACCTAGGGACCCTCCTCCAACCCCTCACCAGAAGGAGGAGGAAATACCCCAAAGCTTTTTCCTCTCTGTGGCCAGGGAGGGGAGCCAGACAGACGGGGATGGGAGTTAGAGTCTGTGACCATGGTGGGCTGGGGACAGCCCTGTCCTCCCTTGTTTGGTTGCTTCCCCTCAAATACTCCTAGCAGAAGGATGTAGGGGAAGGACCAATGGAGAGACAGTGAGTGTTAGTGACAGTCCACCCAGAGTAGGGTGGAGGTGGCTCACCTGGGGGAGCTCGCTCAGCAGGCTAAGGGAGATAGCTCCCGATCCACAGCCCACCTCTAGAATGAGGGGGCTGCCTTGGACTCCGACTGTGTGGGATCTCCGGGCGACCTCCTCCAGCACCCATTCAACCAGTTCCTGTGAGGCAGACGGGTCTGAATCAGAGTTGGTGCTAACTTGGCTGCTGCAGGTTTTGGCAGAGAGGCCCAAGCAGTTAGCCCTGGTGTGAATGAATGTAGGAAAGGGAGGTGACCAAAGCCAGACTGACCTTCATGTCAGCTGGGGTCATGGGTAGGTCATCCTGCCTCTCCATGCCTCAGTTTCCCCATCTGTAAAATTGAGCACAGTTGAGGATAACAAACAGAACCATATTTATGAAGCACCTATCCCATACCTACTGGACAGGAAGTGCTCAATAATTCCCAGCTAACCCCTTTATAGACATGTATCCTCCCATTTTGTGCTCAATAATGCTAATAACCCTGATAGTTCCTGGCCACTCCTGCTGTGCCTAGCCCTGCTCCCAGAGCTTTCCTTGTACTCATCTGATAGATTCACATAACTGGCCCACGAGGAAACTGAGGCCCAGGTGTCAAGGTTCACCTTGAGCCTGGCCTGTGGCTCATGATGACCAAAATCAAGGGGCAGTGTGTCCCCAGCTTCCTCACGCTGAGCTTGAGAGGCCCCATGGAGGCTCCTAGGCCAAAGGGACAGGGAATTCCCTTCTTTGGTGGAGGTTTGGCAGGGAGCTGTGGCACACACAGGGCATGGGGTAAACGGGCATGGGTGTGGTGGCAGTGCCTAACTGCACTGTACCTGCCTTAGCAGCAGGATGACATGTTCAGACACTGTTACTTCGGAAACAAGAGGATGTCAAATCTCACCCACCCATCTGCTGCCTGCAGGGACTGTGCATGGAAGCCAACATAGGGTAGGGGTGAGGGATAGAGGGCTGCTGCTGTCCAATGGACGAAACATTCCTAACCTGTAGTGGAGTGGGGGGCCAAGTAGCTGGGTGTGGAGCAGGGAAAGGACAGTGTGGCCTCTTCTCAAAGGCATGCCTTTGGACTTGGGCAGATGGACTACCCAGAGGCTCAGGACTCCTGGGATCACAGCTCCTAGGCAGGATTGGCTCAGGGAATTTGGTGGGGGGACAGCAAGTGGGTGACTTCTCTCACCTGAAAAGAGGCCTACCTTCTACAGAAAGCCTTCCTCAAGCCCTGGCCAGGCTCTCTCTACCACAGCTTTTCCCACTCTGAGCCTAAGGTCTAGGATGGGGTTTGCCTCTTCTACCAGACTCCGTGATGGGAAGACCTGGGGTCCAACCCATTGCAGCGTGCCCCAAACTGGCAGGGCTTGGCCTACAGAGGGGCCTTTTGGCTACTTTCCAAGTGCTGGGTAAGCACTTTGTGGTCCCAGGAAGCTACCCTCTGAGTTTCACACTCCCAGGTCTCCCCAAACCTCCAACACCATCAGCCAGGCCCAAAGAAGCAGAGGGCTCCAGATCACTCGGACCCATTTTCCATAAAAGCTCCCCAGTGCTGAGTTCCAAACTGCATCTCATCCTTCTGGGCCCCACAATCCCAGTAGTAAAGTTCATCTACTGTAAGAGTAGCAAGTGCAAGGCAGGCAGAATTTGGCCAGCAGGTCCAACCCTCCCTGTTCCAAGCCCCTTCAGCACCAAACAAGCTACTGCCTATGGATGAGGGAGCCCGGCTCCAGCAGGAAGGTTTCCATTCACTTACTCTCACCAGCCCTGGGCCAGGCACTACTGAAGACCATCAGATACTTGTAGCAAGCTGGGCCTGCAGGGTTGGGACTGGCACAGAGTCTAGGGCTGTGGCTGAGAGCCTGTGGTCTCAGTGGTAAGGCCACCTGCTGAGAGACCAGCAGGGTGACCAGGACTTGTGAGGGGTGTGAGCCTCCCTTGGTTTCCTGGTCACAGATAGACCTATTCTGGCTGGAGAATGACCCCTCAGCCAGCCACAGCGGCCAGCCACCTCACAGATAGCCACAACCTCAGAGACACACACCACATACGTGAATGACCACCTCGGGCAGGGTGTGAAGCTGAGAGACTGGGGCCTCGTCACCACCAGTAGCCGCTTGCTTTCCTCTGTACTCCAGACCATGGGAGGCTCATCTTGGTTGCAGGACCAAATGGGGGAGCAGCAGGGTGGAAAACACCCCAAGAAGTCCAAAATCTTTCTCTTCCTCACCCAGTGAAGAGCCTCCCTCAGCCTGATGCTGGTGGCTCTTTGGGGAGACTGAAAGCCAAGCTGGTCATAGGCCCAGGCTACCTCCTCTGGGTGAACATGGGGAGAATCCAAGAACAGGCTGGGCGGAAGGGTGGAGGCATGTGGGAAGGAGGCAAGGGGCAGGCAGTTGTTGGCTCTGCCTGGAGCCACTGCCCCACATGGACTCTATATTCCCTCAAGAGGTTGGCCCAAGGCCTCACTAGGACCTGAGTGTCACAAGCAACCTCTATTAGGATCACATCCCCCGTGGGGCAACCCCAGGGAGATGGCACTGCCTCCTCCAAGCTGATGACAGATGAAGCCCTGAGCCTCCCACATTCTACATAGCCTCACCACACCAGGCTGGGTCGGAACAGCTCACACCCCCAGCCTTGAGTTTCTGACTGTATATACTGCCAAGCTGTGGCCTGAACTACCTTCTCACCCCCAGGGAAAATCCAACTCGTTGGACCACATACCGCCTACAGCTTTGCACTTCAGACTCCTGCATTTATCATCAGAAACCACCCTTGAATGCTAGAGAGAATGAAGGCACTGTGAACCCTCCCCTGTACCCACTCTCCCCACTCCCTGCCACAGGCCACGTCCTCTTGAGTTCTTGGTAAGGCATCCCCCAGTGCAGCTTCACATTGGGGTGAACCTGTTGAGTTCTTAGAAATGTCTATACAGTGAGGCGAGGACCTGGCCTCCAACCACAGTGTCCCTGCCCCTCCCCCTTGCAGTGGATCTGCTCTGCTGGCCAGGAAGAGGGGGCCACATGGGAGCCAGAAGTCCACACGTGACACTCGGAACTCCAGAATATATGGCTACTGACAGGTCAGCTCTGAGGGAACTTGAAGGTCACCATGATAGCTGCCCTGACCCTGGGCAGCTTCAGGAGATGGCAAGTAACTTCCTGACCAGAGGTTGCATGTTTGGGGGAGTCACAGGATAGCCTTCCAAAAGCCTGCAGGTGGGAGGCCACATCTTGTTCCAGGTCTCTGTACCTCATCCCAGAACATGCTAAGTCCAGACAAAGCAGTCCCATGTGAGCTGTGGGGCTTTGACCCAGGAGTCAGGAAGTCCAAGTGCTCCCCCCATGCTCCCCTCCTTGACAGCCTCAGGTTCCCTACTGTCTCTGCCCTGACACTAGGCAATTAGGCAAGGACTTGGCCTTCCAACCATATGATGTAGGGGTGAGAGGGTTCAGAGGGTTTCTAGAAGACAGAGGCTAGGAGAGTGAGGAGGGGCTCTGGGCCCCTGGCTAGGGCAGGTGCATGGGGCCTGACCTTTCTCAGGAATGTCTGTGTGCCTGCCTAGGTGTTTTTCTAGAAATACTCCTTCTCAGAACCTGATGCCCTCTGGCTTGCCCACTATCTCCTAACCAGCTTCATCCCTGGTCTGCCCTCTCTGGCTCACAGCTCTGCCACCTACAAGGTGAGGGGAAAGTCCAAGAAGGGCTATAGAAAGCATGTCTTCCAGGATTAGGGTACCTCACCATGGGACAGCATATTTGGGCCACACATTCCTAGTCCTAGCAGAGACTGACACAGGCAATTATCTGACCAGACAGCAGACCTAAGAGGATCATTGAGTCACAGATTCCCTGCAGTGGGGTCCAAACCTCTCATCATCTGGGCCCAGAGAGGTCACACAGGTGATACCAGGTCTCTAGGTACCCAGCTGGAACCCTCTCTACTTCCTTCATGCTTCCTGAGAAACTGCTGGAGGGCATTTGTTTCCTGTGGGTTCGGTGGGCCACAGGCCCACAGGACAGCTCCTAAGGAAATGGCAAAAACAGGCTGAGCACTTGGGGCTCATTTGAGGTACCCTGGGCCACTCCCAGCCCTAGAAGCTGGGGTGACAGCTTGAGACATGACAGTCAAGAAGGCCAACAGGAGTCCTCCATCCTATTGGCCCCACAAACTCAGTCAACCAGGAGACAGGCCTGGAAGAGCACGGCCCCTGAGGATAGCAGTCATGGAGCCCTAGTGCCCCCTGGAGGAAGTCTGGGGCAAGATAACTACACTGAACTCCACCCTCATCCCCATCCCACCCCACCCTGCCCTGGTGGCACACCCACCTCTGTCTCTGGCCGAGGAATGAACACTGGAGGCACCATCTTCAGATTGAGCCCCCGAAAATCCCACTCCCCAAGGACGTACTGCAAAGGCATCCTACAGAAGAGACAGTCAGGTGGCCATCAGTGCCAGAGCCTGGACCAGTAGAACCATGCCTGGGTTGAGAGATAGCACTTGTGGCCAAAGGTGTTAGGCAAACCCATGTCTCTTGTGCCCTAGATTCCTGGGCCAAAACCCTTTCTCCCTCCCTTCTTGCTATTTACTACCGGGGGGCCTCCTGCCACACCCTAACCCCAACACCTCCCTAGTCCTTGGACATTTTCCTCCTCCCTGAACTTGGGGAACCACTGTTCCCCACAGAACCCTCAGGTCTGACTTGTGGGTGCTTACCTCTGCAATCGGTGGCTACTCAGTTCTTGGATGCACTTTAGTTGCTGGGGGGTCAGGGGCTGGGTCCTAAGTATCGGCTTCAGGCTCTGAAACTATCCCCACAGAGAATGTGAATGGCTGGCTCCCAGGAGCCCTAACCTGTTTCTTATGTGGACAATGCCTGTGCGCCCAGCTCTCTCATCATCTGGGCCCAGAGGGGACAGGTTCCTGCCCAGGGTCACACAGTTGATACTGAGTCTCCTGGTGTCTATCCCTGAACCCCTAGTGCCTGGCACACACTGTAAAAGTTTGTTGGACAAATGAATAAGTATCTACTTAAGACATTTCTTCAGAAAAATCCCATTAGTCTCAGCTAAGTACTTTGTGAGGCAGAAAAGCCTTGATGTCTCTTCCCCAGGGTCCTCCCTCCTCCTTCTTCCTGCACTCCTGACAACACTGAACTTAACTGTTTTGGCTCCAAGGACATGAGCTACGATGCACTCACTGGATTCCCGGGCCTCAGGGATACCTCTCTTTTCAAAGACCCCTGTCCAGTGGCTGACCAGTTCTGTGGCACTTGACAGCCCAGCCAGAGGCGAATGGGGTTGCCATGAACTGAAGGCCCAACCCCAGGTTCCTCCCCTCCTTCCTGGGCCAGAAAGGAGGGTCCACAACATTCGGCCCCAAAGCTCCATGTCAAGGGGAAAGGCTCTCCAGAGTGCTCCACAGGTTCCCAAGTCTCCCTTATGATGTCAGCTGCTGAGGCTGGTGCTGAGTGGTCCCTGGCCCTAGCTGGATGGAGATGGAGAGGTCACAGGCTCTAATGGCTCTTGTCCTTAGATGTGGTTGCCACCCTGGGGGAGAGAACAGAAGAGCAGTTGAACCTTGTGTGATAACCCCCCACTTCCATCAATCTGCTGCCTGAGAAAGGGCATGCTCTTGTTCTGTCACTCCCTTGACTCCATTTATACCCTCACCCATCTTTTTGATTCTTCCTGTCTTGACCAGTTTTCTTCACTTTTTAGCTGGCATAGGCTGAGCCAGTAGCTCAGTCTCTGCTAACAGGCTGGTGGTAGGTCAGGGCATAGGTTTGGGGGTAGGGCAGATCTGTGTCTGACCCAATGTGTGCGACCTTAGGCAAGTCATTGTTTCTAAATTTCAGCTTCCTTATTCATAAAATGGGGGAAATCACACCACCCCATCGCAAACAGTGCATTAGTCAATGAATATCAAGGGCCTGGGAGCTGGCTCAATACACAACAGCGATTCCATGTTACATGCTCTTAAATAATGTTACAAGGGGGAGGAGATTGCCTTTGCCTGGGAGCTTTGCTTCTGACATTTTCCATGTATTGTAATTGATTTGTATGTTGAGAATTTCCCCCCATTTACCCCTAATTCCAGCCATCAGCATAAATTGCCAGCTAAAACACTGACAATTTTATATTTAAACTGTCACACATGAGTTTAACTTCAAGCTTTAAAATTAGTGGTACCCCTTACTTCCAGACGAAGGTCCAGACTAGCATTTATTGAGCAGCTGATAAGTGCCACATCTTCAGAGACAAGTAGGCTCCAAGAGGGTCACAGCTAGAAACCGTCCCAGGCAGGACACAAACCTAGGTCTGCCATACAGCGAGGCAGTTCTGTGCACCTGTGAGCGGTCCCAGGAGGAGCCGAGGCCTGAAGTCGGGGGAACACAAACTCCCTACCAGCTACGCAGGGCATTGTTAACGACCAAGACAAAGCCCCTTCCCTCCGAGCCTGTTTCCCCATCTGCTTTCCCGGGGTTGGGGCCTGCCAGGTCTGGAGGGTGTTGTAGTCCAAGCGCTCCCATCCTGATCCCCACCTCTAGCGTATACCTGCCTGAGGGACTGCCCCACCAGCCCACCGGCCCGGAGAAACAGCCCAGAGCTCGGTTCCCGGACGTGCGTAGCCTGCGGGTGCGCTCCCTCGGAAGCACCTCTTCCGGTGCCGGCGCACCTGAGACAGAGCTCGAGCAGACGCTGCAGCCCAGCTCCATAGTTCCTACCACCGTTGGGTTCCTCCCAGGAGACCCCGCGGGGCGGGCGGGGCGGCTGTGAATTCCACGCCCACTATGCGTGCAGGCCCACTGGCGGGAAAGCGAGGGGATTGTGTGGGGTCGCCCCCTGGGGGCCTGGACCAGCCAGTCTTCCTTAAGGTTACGGCACTATGTCACTTCGGCACACCGTGATTGCTCGGGGCTGGCGGTTAGGGACCCAGCTCGGGCGGTGTGTAGGCGGAGCCAAATAGCACGCCTGATTGGGGGCGTCACCAGCGGGATCTGGGCTTGGGGGGCCGAGGCCCGGCCTTGGTCTACCCTAGCCTGTGGGCCGGGTCCAGCAGCGCGTGGGCGGGTTCCAATGTTGGGGCGGGTCCCAAATTGGTGGGCGGGACCCAGTGTCCCGGACCCAGCTGAGGAGAGGGCCACTCTTGACCCTCTCGCTCCCGTTTAGGGTTTGAAGCAGGAAGCTAGACACCGGACACTAGAGACCTGGGTTCTAATCCTGACTGTTGGCATCTCGTCAGGAGACTTTGTCCAGGTGGCTGGACCTCCTGGGCCTCAGTTGCTCCTTCTATAAAATTCATGGCAGTATCTTGTAAAGTGTGACTTGTCGACACCCCCCCACCAAAAGCTACTGTTAACTTCATCACTGTCCCCCCCACACACACACAAGACAGAGTCTCACTCTGTTGCCTGGGCTAGAGTGCCGTCAGCCCAGCTCACAGCAACCTCAAACTCCTGGGCTCAAGCCATCCTCCTGCCTCAGCCTCCAGAGTAGCTGGGACCACAGGCACTGGCCACTACGCCCGGCTAATTTTTCTATTTTTAGTAGAGATGGGGTCTGGCTCTTGCTCAGGCTGGTCTCGAACTCGTGAGCTCCAGTGATCCTCCCACCTCGGCGTCCCAGAGTGCTAGGATTACAGGCGTGAGCCACTGCGCCCGGCCCGATCACTGTTAACTAAACTATTAAACATGCGGTTTCCGTGGGGATCTGCATTTGTACTAAGCTACCCTGTGAGCCCCACAAGCCCCTTTGAAAACCTGTGGATTCGAGGGTATCCGGGCTCCTCCCCGAGATGATCACGGCCTAGATGGAAACAACTGTGAGGGGCATATGCAGACTTGCCTGGTCGGGATGCCCAGTGATACCACCTGGCTAATAACCCCGCTCCCAACTTCTCTGGACTGAAGATGATCCATTTCTGGCCCAGGGTTGGAGTCGTTCACCAAGAGCGCTCACACCAGAGGCCCCATCTGAGCAGGAAGCCACGGTCCAGGGAGGGGAAGCAGCTTGCTCAAGGTCTCAAAGTCTGTAAAGGGTTGAGCCAGAGTTCGACGCAGGCCCAACGCTGAGCACTCCCAGTCCAGTGCTCTCCCAAACCTCCTCTGGGATGCCTGCCTTTTGGGGGCATGAGTCTGTCTCTGAGCAGGTCAAGTCTGGGCTGGCCCGGAAAGGGCCTAGGCACTCACGGTCAGCGCACAACTTCAGTACAGGCCACCAGGGTGAGGAATCGTCTCCAAGAACTGCGAGCCGGCGGCTCCCCGTCCGGCTCCCGGCTCCCGCTGGGGGCGGAGCCAGACCCGAGCGACAGGCGAGCGGGCCAATGCTGAGCGGTCTTTATGTCTAACAGCCAATCGGGGGCCGGGGGCGCGGAGCGGGCAGATGGCAAGGAGCCGGAGCTTCGGGGATCCCTCGGGGCTGCTCCGCCGGGTCCCGCCCCCGCCGTAGGTCAGGGACCTGCCCACCCCCGCCCAGGCTGACAGAGCGGGCACTCACGGCTGCGAGCTGTGCGCGGTAGCGGGCCTGGCCCGCGGCTGCGAGCGTGCAGGGGGGCAGACCTCAGGTCCGACCCGCCGTCCCCCACGCCGGGCATTGGGGTTCCCCGCCCCGGCCTCCCGCCTGTCACCACCACCCCTAGCCTCTCTGACTGAGCTCGGCGCCCTGGAGAGGATTAAGTAAGTGCTGAGGTCGCCGCTCCTGTGCAAGAATGGGGGAATCACTGGGTCGCGGAGGCGGGCGTGGGGATTGGGGCAGGGAGGACTGAGAGACCCAATGGAGAACAGCATGCGGGTTCTCAAAGGTCGCGGTGCTGACTCCTTTCACCCCAGTTTCCTTCCCTTCCCCTCTGGATCCCGAGGCAGGCCTGGCAAATGGTCCGCAGGGCCCTTTCTCTCCTTTGGGTGGAGTAAACAGCCTCAGAGCAAGAGTTAAGGGTCTGGCCCAAGGTCACACCTCGGGTCAGTGGCAGAGGCAAGAGCCAACAGGACTCCTGTTGTGCCCAGCCTAGCTGGAGGGAGAAGGCAAGAGGGATGCGCCTCCTCCACCCCATGTCCCTCTGCCAGCCTTACCCCTTCCTAAGGGGCCGTCACCGGTGTGTGCACACCTCACACACCCATCCATGCATCTGCACAGGGAGCCACCCCACATAGTACCCACGAGCCAGCACAGGAGGTATGTGTGCAGCCTGAGTTATGCTGAGTTATGTTTCCCTCCTCTCCCTAGGCCTGCCCATCTGCAGCTTGGCTGGGACCTCTTCCCACCCTGCTTTACCTAGGGCCTTCTGGGCTGGGCAAATTTCTCTCCCTCTGTTCCCAGCGGAGGAGGGAAGGGGAGGAGAAGGCACCCAAAGTGGGAGCTCCATCCCTGCCTCTGAAGATATGCTCCCCTGCCTGTCTCCTTGACCCTAGCAGCCCAGCTCCTCTATTGGGGGCATGGGGGTGTCCACTGACCCCAAGAGCCTACAGAGAAGCCCAGCTAGAGGACGAGAGCCTTTCTCTCCTTCCTGTCTTCTGGCCTTTCCACACCAGCCCCAACCCCTACTCTGTGCATAACAGTGGGCTGGGTCCAGGGGCTCCAGTGGCTCCACCTTTCCTGACTGGGCAGGCCAGAGGGAGAAGCTCTAATATTTATTGAGTGCTTACTGTGGATGGGCTTGTGTTGAGCTAAGTCTTTTCCAGGGACCTGTTCATTCTGACATTTCAGTAACCCTGTGACCCTGTGGGGGTGTTCTTAACAAACTCTTAGGCTCAGGAAAACTGACACACAGAAAGGTGGAGTGACTTACCTGGGGTCATCCAGTTAAATAGCCGAGCTGGGATTCAAAGACAGGCCTGTCTGGCTTCTTGGGCAAGTGTTTCCCTCCAGGAAAGGAAAAAACTGTGGTATTTTTTTTCCCAAGCAGGATGAGGGATGTCAGGGGCAGGGAGAGAGGAGGTGGGAGTTGTGGGGAGTATGGAGAGGGGGGTGTTATTGTGCAGAGGAAGGACTTTTTCTTTCAAATCTCCCATTGCCTTTCATATCTTCCAGGTATGATCACTATGATCCTCTTATCCACAAACAGAGAGGTAGGGCTTCATTTTTGTTCCTAAAAACACATGGGAACCACAGGTATATAAAGCACTTGTCCTATGTCTCTTGGCTTGCCCTTGTTCTTTTCCTCAAACGTTTATTTCCTCAGTGCTTTCAGAACCTAGAGGGACTTCATCTTACTGCTGAGCCCCTTAGCCTCATATATTTTATTCTTTCCTTTCCAGCATGCAGGGAGGCAGAAGGCTCCCTTTATCCAAGGAGTAGCTGTGCAGATGGTCACTACAGGTAGTAGGAGCCCCAGGCTGGGACACTCCTGATGTCAGAAGAGAGTGGGCAGGTTAACTGACCACAGACAGTCCTCAGCCCAGGCACTCTCCACATCAGCATGAACTCCAGGATTGCATCTGCTAGGGGCTGGCTCAGCAGCCGTCCACCCACCTCTGAGCCCAGTCTGGAACCTGCCACTGATGGGCCAGCCTCTGAGACCACTACCCTCAGCCCAGAAGCCACCAGCTTGAATGACACCAGAATCCCTGATGTGGCTGATGGTGCAGCTGGCGTGGGGACCATGCTTCTATCCCTTGGGATCATCACAGTGATTGGCCTCGCTGTGGCCATGGTGAGAGCTGGGGTAGACTGAGGCTGGCCTGGGAGGCTCTCAGCTGGGGAGAGTAATCAGTGTTCAGATGTATAGAGAAGCAGATCAGAAGGCAATTGTCTGTTAATGACAGTGCAGTCCTCCCTTTCCCCAGACATTTGTCCACTGGGGCCCAGAGACCAGAGAGGCAATTCTCCTAATTAGAAGAACTAGAAAAGGTTCTGAGGAATACATAATGTTTTGAGCTGGGTCATTTAGGCCATATAGGAGTTGGGGAGGAGGGTGTTCAAAGTGGAGGGTCCTGATGGGCAAAAGTTTGGAGGCAGGCAGGAGGTTCTGTGAGCAGCAAGCCAGATAGTGAGGCAAGTGGGTTTGGGGTTGCAGTAGAAGTGGAGGCCAGAGGGTAGTTGGGATGGATTGTGGGCTACAGTGTCTGGGTGGGATGCTCTGGGCATGGCAGGCTGTTGGCAATATTCATTCATTCACTGAGCAATTATTTACTGAGTACTTGCCTTGGACCAGGCCTTTGGGATCTGGGGACATAAGGTCCTGCCTTGTGGTTCTTACGAGGAGTGGGAGACATAAAAACCGAGGGTTCCAAGGGAAGCCTACAGGGATTGCCTTGGGGAATGAAGTGGGGGGTGCAGGGGAGCAGGGGTGCTTTCTAGGCTGAGTGGTTGGGAACAGCTGAGGATGCAGAATTAGAACTGGCCTCAGTGTCATGAGAAGTAGAATGGGGCAGCCATCAGGAGGGAGGTGAGCTGGGGAGAGGGGTGCTGGAGGTGCCCCCCAGTGGTGAGTATGATGCTTCTTGATCTGGTGTCAGCCCCTGAAGATGCAGGCTGTCCCCATAAGATGATACATAGACACTCAGAATGTCACTGAGGAACCACTAGAGATTGTGCAGGCTGAGACCAGGGAGGGTGGGGGTGCACATGAGCTTCCCCAGTGGGCCTGCCAATGGTAGCATTCTGCCCACCGATCCTTGCAGGCTCTGATGGCTGGCCTTGGGCTCAGGAGCATGTTGCTCTGACAAATAGGGCTGTGGATGGTCCTTCCATGGCCTGGTTGGAGCTGCTGTTAAACCAGGGTTGCCATATGGGCCCCACAGGCTCCGGATTGCTGCCAGGGAGCAATTGCCGGCCAGCAAGCAGGGTCAGGATGCAGCACATGCAGAGTGGGCCAGGGCCTAGGAGGCCTGCTGGGGTGAACATGAGGCGAATGCCAGTGCTCCCCCTTGCCGCCGTGTGCTGGTTGAGCAGACTGAGGCACCCCAACCTCAAGGCCAAAACAGGGCCTAGAATCTGCCCTCATTACTCTCAGCAAAAGATTTTGTCCTAGAAAAGATCCTTTACTCTTTGTTGTAGAGGAACATTCAGAGGGCCGGAGTGGATTGCCTTCTCACCAAAATTGGAGAGGTAGGAAGTTTATAGGATGAAGGCAGTTGAGGGCAGGAAACACTCCTGGGCACAGGAGACAGGTCCATAGGCATTCCCTATGTGCTGTGTCCTCTCCCCATGTGCCAGCCCTGAGCCAGGCCACAGGGACAAGGAGGAGCAAATCTGTGCCAGGTTGTGTGCCTCACCCAGGGGGAGGAAGTGCTTGGTGTGGCAGAATCAGTGGGAGAGGGCTTCCCGGAGGCGGTGGGGCTGTAGCTGTGGGGGCCTTCTTTCCTTGACATCTGATGCTGCCCCTTCTCTTGCAGGTTTTGTACATCAGGAAGAAAAAGAGGTAATTCCCCAGCTGCCACCCCAAACTCCAGCCCCTGGGCAGTGCTGGGCTGGGTTCCAGGGGACTCGGGAAGAAAGTGTCTACCAGCCCCACAAAGGCCCCTCTCCCTGGTCAGGGAGGGAGTCAGGGCCTCTTCTGCCCACTCAGGGTTGGGGGTGACCACTTTCCTTCAGGGAGGGTTGAGGGCACCTAACTAGGACATCACGCAGAGGGCAAGCAGGTATCACCCTGGATTGGGGATGGGTGGGGAAGGAGAGGGGTGAGAAGGTTGGGATTACCCCCACCCAACTGCCCAGCCACCCTTGCCCTGCTGCCCTGAGCTGACTGCCACTGACTCCCCTCCCCCACCCCAGCCACAGAGGCTGTGATTGCAGCAAGGTCCCAGCCTAGGCAGTCTCTGTGTACCCCACTGATGACAGCTTCATGGCCCATGGCCCTACTCAGTCCCAGGAATGGGTAACTGCTCCCTCCCAGGCCACCCATCTGAGGGGTGGAGCTGTTACTCTAAGTGCAAAACTGTATGTCAGTAATCCATTTCAAGGGAAATCTTAGGACCCTAAACATGATTTTGTGCTGTGGCTTAGCTGGTCAGTAGGCAGGGCCTGGAGGGCTGGTAGGAGGGGAAGGGCCTGCCCTGCCCCCAGCAGCCTCTGCCCCATCCCCAGGCTGGAGAAACTACGCCACCAGCTCATGCCCATGTACAGCTTCGACCCCACGGAGGAACAAGACGAGCTGGAGCAGGAGCTGCTGGAGCACGGACGGGATGCTGCTTCCATGCAGGCTGCGGCCTCTGGGCAGGCCATGCAGGGCAAGGTGGGCACTGGCTGGGCTTCCCACCCCATCTGCAGCCGTCATGTCTCCTCCACCCTCACCCTCCCTCCTTTCTCATGTCACGTGGTCAGGTGGCAGCTATTGGGTATATGGGTTTTGTTGGGTTTATTCAGAAACTGGTTGAATTGCTCCAGGGCCACCTGCCGACACACTGCAAAAAGCCTGACTCTGCCTAGATGGCTTGCTGATCTTAGGAGCCCCACAGGTATCTCTGAGCCTTAGTTTTCTCATCCATAAATGAAAACCCTAATTCTTGCCCTGTAAACCCCCACAATACTGGCTAGAAGAGTAGGGGAGGACTAATCGGAGAGATTGTTGAGAGCTGGGACCCTGGGTTCCTCTGCTCCTTGAGAGTCTATGGTCCTGAGTGGGTTGCGGATGGGGTCGGACTCTTGGGGAGTGTTTGCCTCAGAGTAGGCTGGTAGATTCGTAGTCACTGACAGATGCCAGGCAGGTGGAGACCCCAGCCAAACTCACTTCCTGTGTCCAAAGGGACAAGTACCTATGTGATCATCCTGCCAGAGCCACTGGGCCACCTGACCACTTGCCACCATTCCCCCAAATCCCCAAGGGCCAGAGTGTCATGAGCAGGCCTGGCCCACTCCTGATGTATCCAACCTCTTTGAGTCTCCTTGCGCTCAGAAGAGTCAGGCTGGAAGTCTGAAGACCCCTTGGTTTTGCCTCCAGTTCTGTCACCTGGGTCAGGATACATTGCTCCCTTGGGATATTCAGGAAATTGCACTGAGAACCTTTGTCCACCCAGCCCCTGGGACTACTGACCATTTGACACTCATTTCCTGTGCACCTCCCTTGTGTCAGCCCCTATGCTAGGACCTGGGGGTGCAGTTGAGCATCCCCTGCTAGGAAAAGGTGATGTATGCATAATTAAATCAATGCTCAGGCCCACAGTGAGTGCTGCCAAAGTGACAGGGCAAGCTGGGGATGGCTGATGTGGGGAGGAGTCATCTGAGCCAGGTCTTATTTCTAGGCTGAGCTTGCAGGGAGGGACTTCCAGGCAGAAGGCATAGCTGGTGCCAAGCACAAGCAGACACCAGGAGTGAGGGTGGAGGTGACTGGGCCAGAGAGTGCATGGCTTTGGTCAAGTTCTGATGCCCCTGCCTGTCTCCCTGCAGGCCATTCTTCCCTCCCAGGGCCCACTGCAGAGGCCCAGCCGGCTGGTGTTTACTGACGTAGCCAACGCCATCCATGCGTGATTGGCCTGGGGACAGGCCTGGACCTCTAATAGAGATACCTGCCATGGTGCCCACAAAACTGCCCACTCCCTGACTGTCAAGACCTACTCTCAGGACCTGCCCTGCCACGACGGGAAAGGGCCAGGCTAGGCCCCAGCTGTTCTGTGGACCCACGTGCCGACTGTCCAGGCTTTAAGAGAGGACCCTGGCAGGCTGGGCATCTGGCCACTGACCTCTCCTGACCCGAGGGGCCTCACATGTGGGGCATTCCTCATGCCAGGAAGGTCAGGGGCTACTGCTGGCTTCCCTGTCACCTGTCCAGACCCCTTATATCAGGGTCTGCTCCTCTACTGTTGAGGAAACTGGGGGAAGATCTGGAGTGGGAGGGGAGGGGAAGTGGGGGTTCCTTTCTGTCAGGGAGAGACCTGGTTCTTGCAATCTGGAGCCTCCCCTGGGGTGGGGAGAAGAAACCACCTGAAGGCCCAGGAGTGGAGCTGAAACTGCCTAGCAGGCGAGGACACCAGCAGGGGGGCTGCTCATACTTGGGGGCCATCCGTGCTAGAGGGTTCATGAGGTCTCCCAGCCACCCATCCTGGCTGCCAGGGCTTTGTTGAGCCTGAGCTAGAACGGGAGCTGAGGGGGAAGGAAGTGAGGGAACAAATGTGGAGGATGCAGCGCCCAGACCTGCTGAGAGCCTCGTGTGTGCACGTGAGTGTGCCCACAGGCAGACACAGGCCTGTGCCTGCACGGCAGGCATGACAGACCTGCATTGGCTCTGCCCTCCAAGTCAACCCCACCCAGTGGAGCATCAGGGTAGGCGACCTCCTCTACATTCAGCGTTCAGGGGCTGCAGGAAGAGGGAAACAAGGCAGGGCTCCACTGTCCACTGTACTTCTTCACTGGGCTCTAAAAGGCAGGCTGACCTGTTCATGAACACAGTTCCCTGTCCGGGACTACATCGAGGATGTGGGTGGGGAGAGGCTGTTGGTATGAGGGCAGCGCTCACAGGCTTCAGGCAGTGGAGGAAGTTCTGACTGCCTGAGAGAGGGTGGAGGATTACCCCTTGGGAAAGAGACCTATGAAACCTACTCTATTTTTTAATTCCCCCCTCCATCCCACCTATGAGAAGGGCTTCTCCGTGTTTATGGAGTGACGGGGAAGGTCTTTGCACTTGGCCTCCCCATAAGCCTTGGAGGGTCAGGGCTGATGCCAGGGGCATCTGGGCAGGACATTAGGCAGAGACGGACCCCAAGAGCTGGGCACTTCTCTATGTTGGGCATGCACGTGCACACGAGCCTGCACAAGTCACGTTCCCAGGCCTGGCCCGCCACCATTGCTGTCCTCCACTGGTTGGAGGGGATGCAGGAGCAGCATGTGTAGATCTTCCATTGGGCAAATACCACGTGTCAGGATGCTGGGGCCCAGGTGGCCCCCGTGGGGAAAGTTCTGGATTTATTCCCTCCTCTAGATGCTATAAATATGTTAGCACTTAAGCCGACTGGAGGGCTGCGGGTAATTTAGGATGCAGAAATCTGTAATTTAACTCGAACCATCTCCATGTGAGAGCATTAAAGATGTAATTAAGATGTTTACACGCTAAGGGTGTGAAGCTGTGACACTCAGGGTGTGGAACACCAGGACGGGATGGGATGGGTGAGGGGCTGTAGGAGTCTGGGGGTAGTTGTTTGGATCCCATCTACGAGGTGGCAGCCCAGCTGGTTTTCCTTGATCTGAGAAAATGCCTTTGACCCTGAGTTCCAGCTGCTCTGGGACCTTGTCCCTCAACTGTGGAATGGGGTCACAGCACCTGCCACTCCCTGGGGCTGAGAGGGATCAAAGGAGGGAGGGGGCTTAAGCCCCAAGAGCCAGGGGGAGGTATGACACCTCAGGACCCATGTGAGCTAGGTCTGGAACATAAAAGGGAGCAAAATGACATGATGGCCTTTTCTGGAGCACAAGGGATGGGTGGGAGATGGCAAGCCATTAGGGTTATGTGCATGGAACTTACCTACAGGGTTCAGAAGGGTTTGGGGGAGAATGACACTAGGATGACCAGCTGTCCTGGTTTTCCCAGAACTGTCCCAGTTTTAGCACTGAAAGTCCCACAAGCCAGGACTCTAAGTGACATCCAGACCCTCCCCCAGAGAGCTGAGCATTCAGGCTAGCATTACATAACAAGGAGGGCATAAGCCCCTCAGTTCCATGACAGAGGGCTGGGCTGGTGTGGCCGGGTCTTAGGTAAGGCTGAGGACCAAGCACTCCACGGGCCACACACTGGGGCTGCGGCTGGGCCTGTCGGTAATGGCTTTGGTCTTGGGAAGTGTCTCCTTCCCTCGGCAGACTGGCAGGATTCCAGGGGGGATGGGGTGGCCTGTGTGCTCCCCCTGTGGGGTAGCCTAGGCCCAGGAATGTGGGGGCTGCAGAAAACCCAGTGTGGGGGATCCTGAAGAAACGGGACCTGTGGAGTGAGGCTGGCTCAGGGACCAGGGCCTAGAAGGGGGTTCCAGGAGGACCCTGTTCCCATTCTCTCCCGTCTGCCCCATGCACCTTTCCTGCTGGTGATGGACACAAGACAGCTGTACCTGTGAGTGCCAGGGCTGTGTCCCCTCCTCTTGTGTTCTCATGGTCACCTCTCCCCTCCACCTACCTTCTTCCACTCCCTAGCTCTGTTTCCCAGTCCTGCAGGAAAAAACAAAACCCAGCCAGTTCCCGGGTCTTCCACACAGAGGGTAGTATCGATAAATATCGCGGTGGAAGGTTCTGGTTGGCATGTCTTCCTTGAGGCCTCGCTGGTGTGCTCACGGCTCTCGGTCAGGCAGTGGAGTGCGAGGCAGTTGCCTGCCTGCCTTCACTGCTCCTGAAATTGTCTATTAAAGGGCCCTTCGGGAAGTGCCCCTGCCCGACACACGCACTTCCATAAATGAGACCCTCCTCGTGAATAGCAACTAGGGCTCCGGGTCAGACGCTATGACAGTTTGTGGTGGGTGGCATCAGGGTGGACACAGCTGGGTGCCTTCAAAGGACACTATCTTCTTGTTTAATAAAGTGAAGTGTCACTTTCAAGCCAAAGTGAATAAAATAATCCCATTGCCTGCCTGCAGGCAGACACTGGGGATGCCTTCAGAATGTAAAGGAAATCTTGTGGGGGAGAACGCAGAAACTCCAGTAGAGCAGTATGACCTTGCCGTGGCTTCCTTCCAGAGACATTACTGAGCTTGGCACCACGGTCCCATCAGTGAACCAACCCAGACTCCGAATTTCTGTTCTAGATGGAGGAGGCAGATGTTAACAGGAAAAGAGAAGTCTGTGTGCATATGTTTATAACACACACACACTACCAGTCTACGTCTTCATAACTACACTATGTGACAAAGAAGGCAGAGGCGGGGCAGGGTGTGCCTGAGGGTATCCAGAGGCTGAGGCAGCAGCTCCCACCCCATCCTGTCAGCCACAGCCCTACGCAGGGCTGAGTGTGGAGGGCCTTGGCTAAGGCTATGGGGGAGCCCCAGGAAATGCTGTCCTGGCACCCCCATCCACCCTGGCCTCTGAGGGCTCAGGACTGGGGTGGGGGCAACTGCATGTAGGGGTGCTGAGAAATGAGCAAAAAGGGTGTGTATGTCAGGTGCGGAGAGGGAAGTAGGGACAGGGAGAGCAGGGAGACTCCTCAGATGGGTGGAGTGGGGTGAGACCAGGATGCCATCCCACCTGGGCCAGGGTATGGGACCTTGGCCTGCTCTCTCACTCCCCACCCCCAGAGCTCCTTGGCAGAGTCCCCACCTCCCACCCCTCACCGTGGGTGTTCGGTCCTGCAAGTGGAAGATTAGGACAGGGATCAGGGCACTGGCCCCCACACCCGAGGGAGCCGGAGAAAGGGCAGCAACCAAGGAGGGGCATCTGTGGGAAGAAGAGGGTGTGTGGATGAGCAGAGGGGTAGGCGGGGCCAAGGCCTGTCCAGGAAGCCTGGTTGGATCTATAGGTGTGGTAGGCCTGGGATTCCTGTGTGAGCTGGGGGTGGTCAGTAGAGGGAGGGAATCCCAGAATGACTTGAGGCCTCCAGGGGGCCAGGGTTTCTGTCCAAAGATGTGACTCTGAGCTTGAATCTGGGGGAGACAGACTTTACTCTGAGGCCGGGGGCCCATCAGGGGATACCTGATGCAGGGGATACCAAGGCCTCCCTTATCGAGCCAGGGCAACTTTGGTCAGTGGGTCACAGCCTGGGCCAGTTTCTCACATTTATGGCAAAATCTCAGGCAGCCCAACACCCCATGTAACTTGCGAGCAAAGTGAAAATCACACAGAGGCCTCCCTGATGTTCCCACCACCACCATGCATAGAGTTTATAGGAATAATCAAACACTTTCTGTGTGCCCAATAGTGTGCTTGGAGGTGACAGGGGCTTCCTGCCCTGTAGGGCCAAGTCTGCTGGGTTAGAGCAAAACTGCTGACTGAGTTGCTCTTGGTCCCTAAGAATTCCAGTCAGGGAGGGCTACTTGGAGGGGGCAGAGGGGCAGGCACCAGATGCCTTTGCTTTCTGTGGGACTCACCAGGGCCTGGGTTGCAAGCCAGGATGTTGCCTCCTCTGCTGCCCATTCTGTGGGTGTGGCCATGGCCATGACTGGTGTGGAAAAAGCTGTCTGGCAGCAGAGCAGGAGAACCCAGTGAGAGACACTCTCTACACGTGGGTTTTCCCACGACAGCCAGTAGCATTTTGCTCTTTCTCCCAGTATGCATCGCGGCGTCCATTCCAGGCAGATCCTGCTGTTGCAGCAACACCGGCTTCCCCTCTCCCAGTCAGCTGGTGGCCCAGCAGAGCAGCCCCTCACCCCTGGCCTGGGGGCCCAACAACATAAAGTCTGGTCCCACTAAGGAGTGTGAAGAGGTCACTGTCTCTGGTGGGGAGGGTCACAGGTTAGAGGGGGCAGGGCCATGTCTGACGGAGGGTCCCAGGAGGCCAGCCCTGCAAGAGCTCCCAAGCCCCATTTACAGATGAGGAATTGGGGTGGTAGACAGGGTGAGTGATGGGTACAGCTTTGGAGCCCTGGACTGTCTGCCCTTTCCACAGCATCGAGGGAAGAAGGTGGGCTGGGCAATCACATGGTCTGTGCCACATTTCCTGGCACCAATTTCAGGCCTGTCCTGCCTTGGGGGACTTGGGAGACTGCAGAAGAAGATGGACCCATGGTTCCAGCTTGGGTGAGAGGGGTGAGCAGAAGGGGGAGCTGCAACAGAGGCTTAAGAAAGAAG